GGCCCCGGAGCCCGTTCCTCCCTCAGTAGGTTGCTCGTCTCGGTTTGCTTTCTCTTTATCTGGACCTAAGTCAGCCAAGGACCCGGCTGGGCGACCTGCGTGGGCCTCTGACTCTCAGATACCGAAGGTTCAACCTCTGGTCGTCTGCGTTTGCTCTTGGTTGCCCACCCCCTGCCCGCCATTAAGTCGTTGATTAATACTTCGCTCACCCTGTGTGACCAGCAGTTAGCGTAATGGCTATGTCGCTGGACTCCCACGTAATCGACTGCGGTTCGAGTCCCGGACCCGGTGGCTTAAACTCACGCTGGGTGCGTGTGCGTGGGTGCCCAAGATCCCGAGAGGAGAATGGAGGAGAAGGGATTGCGGTGTGGTCATCCTCCCCGGGGGGGGATTTCTCGCTTTCTGTCTTTGTCTGTCTGGCGAGCGCATGCGCCCTATCGCAAAAACCTCTCAAAAAAAAACACAAAAAAACAAAAAAAAGAACTTCGCTCACCCTGGCAGCCCAGAGCTGCGCATCCTCCAGGTGTTTGGTCTGATTCTTCTGTCGTGAAACTGAGTTAGGCCCACTGTGTTCTGGTCTTTTAGGACTGTTTAATTTTTCCCTCAGATCCTTTTTGGTTGACGATGGGATTAGGACAATGGTTCTCACCCCTGGCACTTGGCCTCCCAGGAAACATTTGGCAATGCCTGGAACATTTTTTGACCTCACATGATGGCAGAGAGCACGGGTGAACTGAGGCCAGGAATACTGGCAAGGTCTTGCAATGCAGACAGCACTCACGTCAAAGAATCACCTGGCCTGAAATGTAAGTACTGCTGAGGTTAGGAATCCCTGCGCTAGGAGAACAGTGACTTCTCAAGTGTCATACCTTAATAGGATGTGCCCCCGTTTTACAGATTAGACAATTCTAGAGAGGTAATTAGTTTATAGCAGTCACATTGCTAAGAGCTCCTTTTATTTGCCCTTCAATTTATTGAGATGGCAAAGAATTTTATTTTTAAATATAGTGTTCGAGGGGCCAGTAGGTGGCATGGTGGTTGAGGGCACTGGACTCCCACATGTCTGACTGGGGTTCGAGTCCAAGACCCAGCGGCTTGCTTTCTCACTTTCCCTCTCTCTCACTCTGTCCCTCTCTGGTCAAATTAAAATAATGTAATGTAATTTAATTAAAATTTAAAAAATATATTTCTAAAATAGTGTTCTAAGAGTTAATACCGTAGATTACCAGAAATTATTTTCTTTTTTTAAAAAAATATTTATTTAATTTTTTTTATCTATCATTTTAAAAATTTTGCTGCAGGGCATGTGCTCTCACTAGAGAGAGCATGAGAGAGAGAGTGAGAAACAAGCCACCAAGTCTGGGACTCGAACTGTGGTTGACCATCAGTTCGTTGGCGAGACTTAAACTTTGCTTAACTACTTTACTAATGGATGCCTTCTTACAATTTCAAACATTAATGAAGCTGATAGCATTCACATTTCTGTATTTATCCCTATTTTTACTTCCATATATAAAAAATAATATATAAGGCATAAATAGAAGCTCCCACATAGCCACCACTAATCTTACACATGTAGCCCTATTTTCCTTTCTTTTTTTAAGTTTAACAACTGAATTTTCCACGAGAGAGAGACAAAGTGAGAGAAAGTCATCCTAAAGGGTCTCCACATGGCCGTCCTCCCCTACCTAGTCTCAGCCAGTGGGCAAGCATTCGCACACCCCGCATCTCACATGCCACCGATGTCCTGAGGAGCTGGAGGGCTGTAATGACACATGACACAGTCAAGAGTGATTTCTCCCCCTCCCTCGTCTCACATGCACACCATCAGTAAAAGAGAAGAAAATGGATCTCCCCAAGAGTAAGCTGTGCAAAATACATCTACAAGCAGTTTAAAAGTTTTACACATTAGGACCAGCCAGAGGTGTGGAGCAGTCGAATCTCACATCAATCTGAACTGAGTACCTTGACTGACACACACTGGGTGTGTAAATCCTGAGAGGGGAATTGAGTAAAGATTGGGCATGGTTGTTCTCCAGGGGAAGGGGGTGATTTCACTTTCCTCTTCTCTCCTACAAGCGCATATGCCCTATAGCAAATTTAAAAATAATAATAATAATAATAAGTTTTGAGCATTAAAAGAGCTAGTTCAAAAATATGTTTGTTTTTTCAAGTTATTGGACAGATAAAAAGTACCATTTGAATAGAAACTTTTCTTAGTCATATACTTATCATGATTCTCCCACTGAAAAAAATTAGTCCTTCAGTTATTTATTTTTGTCTCCATAGAAATAGGCTATGTTGCATAAACATTGTGAGTAAATGCCATCCTTTTTTGCTTAAAATGACCAAGAGTCTCAAAAATTAGGTAATCATAGATTGAAGCAAAAAATTACATCAGCCTAGTTCAACTCAGACTTTGCTGGACTCTAAATCTCATTTGGCTAGATTGTGAAGTCACTCCCAGACACCACTGGGAGTGTCTCTGAAAGATCACGCTTAGGTCCACCCACCATTTAAGGGAAGTTAAAGGGCTGGTCAAGCAGTGAGGAAGAACTCTTGTCATAGACAAATTTGTCATTGTTAGTCACACAAATACAACGTAATGTTTAAAGGAAAATGCATGACCCTACTGGGAAGCTATGTTGGAAAAGTCATGGCCAAAGATAAGAGAATTATAAATATAGGAGCAATTGTACTTTTCATGGCGTGGGTAACTTGGATGTCTGATACATTTAAACGCTCTGTGTTTTGTTTTGAGAATTTAGTTATAATCTATTTTAAATCAGGCAAAATCTCTTTTTTGAAGACAATATTGTTACTTAGGAAGGAAGGATTACTGCACTATACTGACACTGGAAACATTTTTAGGATTTAGAATCATTTTTTAGTATCAGACTTTCTCACTATAGGCCTTATCTAATCATAAAAGTCATTTTGGAAAATCATCGTCAAACATAGAAAACATATGGCATCATCATAATTCAGAGGTCTCCCAAACTGCTTTGAGATCATACATTTTAATCTCCAAACCTCAGTTCTCTCATCTGATAAATGGAAACACGGATTATCCTTCTTCTGCATTTTTAAATAATTATTTATTTTTTTATTTTTACTTATCCATTCATTTATTTTAATTTGATCAGAGAGAGTGACAGAGAGGGAGAGAGAGAAAGTGAGAAGGCAAGCCACCAGGTCTGGGACTCGAACCCATGGTCAGCCATGCGCGAGTGTCCAGCGCCTTAACCACCATGCCACCTGCTGGGCTCTTCTTCTGCATTTTAATAGTATATTTTGAGTATACCAAAATCATGAGCCTAGTTCTTTCAGACAGAAACCCTAACAAAGAGAAAAGTAAAGAATAATAATGTTGACTGTGTTCATTGCTAACTAATCCTTTTCCCAAGGGAGCATTTCCTTAGATTTCTACCTTAGGACTAAAGCTCTGCTTTCCACTCCCCTGTCATACCAGATTTCCTGTTCAGTCTGCATGCATGCATGCACTCATTGGGTTTGTTTTTTTTTTAAGAATTTTTTATTTTATTTATGTTTTTTTTGTTTTTGTTTTTGTTTTAAATTTTGCTATGGGGCATGCACACTCACCACAGAGGCTGAGAAAGAAAGAGGAAGCAAGCTGCCAGGTCCAGGACTCAAACCACGGTTGGCCATGTGGGAGTCCAATACCTTAACTACCACACCACCTGCTGGTCTCGTTTATTCTTTTAGAGAGTTGGTCAGTCACCAGATATTAAAATCCCCCCATGTGCCGAGTACTATGCTACAAACTAGCAGTGCAAAGAGGAATAAGATGAACCTAGCTGCAGCCCCCATGGAACTTATAATAAAGCAGGGAGACCAACATTATATAAGCATTTTCAAAGGCACAGGGCTTATGAAGAAGTGGTGCAGGGACCTTCCAGTCAGGACATTATATAACTAACTCTGGAGGTCAGAGGAGTTTTGGAGCTATCAGAGCTAAAACAAGAAAAAAAGGAGGAGTTGACTTAGTAAGTCCTTAGTTGGTAAAAGGAGAAAGTGGTTTAAGCAGAGGGAACAGCACCAAATGGATTCTGTAATACTGAAAGGAGAGGCAAGTCGGCTACCTCGTAGAGAGACAGGATCCAGATCTTGTAGGCCTTATTCTGAGGGCAATGGGAACCCACTGAACGTTTCCTGTTTGTCTGCTCTTGGACATACGTGCTTAAGCGGGGAAGAGGCAAATTACTTGGATTTCTGAACACTGTGCCAGATGGAGGTGAGGGCACGCAGATAGTACACGTGTGGGGATACCAGTTAGGAGACAATCGGAGGAAATGAGTTGGGGAGTGGCAGAGAAGAAAAAGTAAGTGGACTGAATCAAGAGATGTTTAAGACAGAATCATACAGTTTAGTTATGAGGAAAGAATGACTTCCAGATTTCTGGCGTAAACTAATGAGTGAAAGCCATTTACTTAAATGAAGAATACTCCAGGGTGGAAAGGTTTGGGAGGGAGAATCATGAATCATAGTTGATTAGCTCCCAACACACACAAGCCCAGTAAAAATACAAGACCCTATATTCTAGCTACTAATCTTCCCTAAGTTATTCCAATTTCCAAAACTAAGTTTGAAAAGAGAAAATGGGCACAGGTGGTGGGAGTGTGAGTGGTAGGGGCAGTGATGTTCAGTGCTTAGGGGAAGGCCCTGGGTTTGGATCCTGGGTCAACCTGAACATGCGAAGTATACTGTGGGCACACCCATGATCCTGGCTTGCTAGAGGGCTGAGAGGAAGATCAGAGCATGGCAGAGCTTTATGGGAGGTCCCTCTCTCCCCCAAACCCATAAAAGAAAGAAAGATACTTTTAAAAAATGAAGAATAGAAAGTATTTTATTTATTTATTTATTTTTTGGAGAGGTTTTTTTTTTTTTTTT